TCAACTACTCTCTTGGAGATCAGATACCATTTTCACACCATCAATGAGATAGATATCACGGCGCGTTTTTTTTTTAAAGTGGTTTCTCCTGTAGACCTAATCCACACTACAAAACAACAAGTTCAGTCACCTTTTCGTCTATATTATTAAGGTCCACTTGTTTTGTAGAAAAAATAAGATCTTATTTTTCTACAAAACAAGTGGACCTTAATGATATAGACGAAAAGGTGACTGAACTGCGCAAAGCTTTTCAAAGTACCGGAGAATCTCAATATTTAAAAATACATGTGATCTTCGATCATTTAAAACAGGGCCTTATACATTTGAATTGCGGTAGTTTAGGATTGTGGTCTGAACAGGCTGGAGAATCGGTCCATAGAGAATTTCTCGAATATTGGGAAAGATTCAAAATAAACGCGATTGATGACGAAACGTATTCGAGCCGATTAAAGAAAGCGGTAGTCACATTTTCTTCTCAACACATATAAAATAAAAAAAGATAACTTATTCTTGTTTCAGCTAGTGGATTAGGTCTACAGGAGAAACCACTTTAAAAAAAAAACGCGCCGTGATATCTATCTCATTGATGGTGTGAAAATGGTATCTGATCTCCAAGAGAGTAGTTGAACAAAAAATATATACTTCGTCTTCGCTGATGGAAGAATGTTGCCAATTTTCCTGTCGGTATTGAAGACAGTTTCAATTTTATGTTTCTTCAGTACTTTGCTGATTTTGTCAGTGGTTCCTTTTATATATGGAAGGAGTGCTTTGGCAACTGGTTTATCTTCTTCGGTCCGTTCTCTATTGTGGCGTGGTCTTAATGCTCTCTTGATGTTGTTATCCGAGAAACCATTTTGTTGAAGAGCTTTTTTAACTTTTTCGATTTCTTCTGTTTTGTGTTCGTTGTCAGTCAGCCTTTCTGATCGTGTTATTAGAGTTTTCAAAACAGAATTTAGTTGTGATGGATGGTGATGGGACTCGGCATGCAGGTAGCGATCCGTGTGTGTGGGTTTTCTATACACCGTGTAGCCTAAACCTCCGGTTCTATTTTTGATTATGGATACGTCTAGAAATGGCAACTTGTTATTTTCTTCGATTTCCATGGTGAACTGAATTTTGTGATGTATACTGTTGAGATGTGTTAGGAAGCCATTCAGTTTTTCTTTGCCGTGCGTCCAAATAACGAAGGTGTCGTCGACGTATCGTAGCCACATTTCTGGTTTATATTCGGCGGATTTGATCGCTCGTTCTTCCAGATCCTCCATAAATAGGTTGGCGATTACTGGTGACAGTGGTGATCCCATGGGTGCTCCTTCTATTTGTTTGTATCTCTGGTCTTTATAGATGAAATATGTGTTATTGAGGCAGTGTTTTATCAGGTCCACTAAATCTTTTCTCAGATGGTATTTCTGGACTATTAAGTCGAGTGCTTCTTCTATTGGTATATTTGTGAAGAGGGATACAACATCGAAGCTCACCAGCAGGTGTCC